GGGGGGGGACTTACTGAAAATAAAAACCTGGCTCCCCAAACGGAGCCAACAGTCCTCATGGTGTTTGGTAGGCAGCAGGGGAAAAGGAAGGCAGGGGGGGAGCTGCATGCATGAATGGCAGCCCAAGATGGCTGCCATCCCTGTCTCTCGCTGCTGATTGGCTGAGAGGGCTGCCTGGAATGGCCCCGCCCCCTCCACCAACTAGCAGCAAGGAGCAGGACCGCATGATAGCCCTCATAACCAATCAGTGGCAAGGGGTGGGGCTGTATGATGGACAGTCTTCAGTCAATCAGCAGCGAGAGGCAGGGCCACTGGGGCCATTCAGCCAATCAGTGGTATGTGTGTGGCGGTGGGGAGAAGCAGGGGGCACTGAAATCAGCCCATGAATATGGTGGCCAGCCCGGCAACCTCCCTGCGAAATCACCTGGCGGCCTCCTCGAGTTAGGTAGACCACTACTTATAAATAATTTACTTTGATAATACTGTACCGACAGTGTCTCTCTCCGTAATTAGAGCCTAAACTTGCAAGGAGCTGAGCGCTTCCACAAAAATCCAGCAAAACATTTTAGATGTGAAGAAACGCACTAAAGTCAAAGGTAACTTTAGTTTAATTAAACTTTATCCTTGTTAAGCACATGCATAAGAATATTACTAAACTAGGAAAAGAGCAATCACTCATTGCAAGGCTAAATAAACAATGAGAACAATTAGCTACCTTAAATAGTTGGGATCCAGAGCACTGCCATTTGGTGTGCCTTGTCTCCTGCTTCTCTTTCATCCTCTGCTTATTTCTTTTTCCCCTTTATACTTAGGGATCTACCCAAGTCACAGCCAGCGAAAGGGATTTTTGTGGGCCACTAGCAGTGCACAGAGAATTTCACAGCGAGCCTACCCCGCCACTGACTGGCCAAGGGGGCCTGATGGCCCCACTCTTCATTGCTGACTGGCTGGAAAGGCTGTCTGCTGTGTGGCTCCACCCCTCACTACTGATTGGCTGAGGGCTGTTCCCTTACCACTAATTGATGGAAAGGAGCAGGGTCATGTTAATGGGCCATCCTCTTGGCCAATCATTGGCAGGGAGGGAGGGTGGCCACCATCCTGGCTGATCCCCTTCACACCAGCGGTTGCATTTTTTTTTTAAGTTTTTTTCATGGATTTCATGGAGAATGCCCAATTTCGCAGTTTCTGTGAAATCTGCGAAATCATGCATTAAGCAGGTCCCTACTTATACTTCCTGTTTCTTTTCCCCTCCCTCTTCTGTTTCACAAACTTAATCTCTTTAGTCTTTCCCCAATTTTTTCACTTTTCTCTTCTGCCCAGATCCTTTCCATTTGTCTGTTTCCCCAAATCCTTCCCATGTCTAAGTCTCCCAAAAAATTTTTCTTCCTTTAGTTACTTGTTTCTGCACCTTAGTACCCCTATTAAAGACATGGTAGCAGAGCAATCAAGATGTCTTGCTTCTGATACTGATGTAAATCTAACTTCAGACTTGGACTGAAAGCTACCCCTCATTGATCCAGCTGTAAACGGGGAGCTGGTCCAAAGCAGCTGGATATAAAAGCTGCTAAATGACTCTTGCGTACCTTGACAATGCAAGCCTGACCTAGTACCTAGGCTCAGGACAGGCTTTTGATTTTTGAATATGCTGTTCCCAATACCAGCCTGCTCTAGATGCATTCGTGACATACAAAGGGCTCTCAGCTTTAGAGGAGAACAAATCTTTATTTTTCCTGTAATTTGGAAGGAAGCTTGCTTGGTCTTGCATTAACTACTTTAACCCAGACCTAGTCTGAGATCAGAATAGTCCTGTACCCCCTTACACTTCCAGTTCTTTGGCAGGGTGGGAAAATCTGCCAAGGGCTGGCTAAGAGAGATTTGAGAGAACATATACAGCTGTACATATAGAATAGTTTTCCTTTGAAGCAATATTTTACTACATGTGCATGCATGTGGCACCAATATAACATATCACCCAATACTTCTACGTTTAAATACTGAATATAATAAATTTGGCATTATGACTTCATTGCAAGTTCATAAAAGGAGGAATCAGGCAGAGATGTAGCAAGCTCCTCTGGAATAAAAATATCAGGTAGAGGGAACTGGATTATAACAGGTAGAGGATAACTGGATTTCTACATTCATAATATGAATTTGGAAGTTTTCCCAGCATGAAAAGTCTTCTTTAATGCTCATGTATATCAACTGAATCATACACACAAAGAAATTCTCTCCAATCTGTATTCATATAATTTCTGTATGGCTACCTGCGTACAATGAAAAAAAAGTATTCTGTAGAAATTATTGTATGGTTTATTACTATGTAAATATACACATCTTACTCATATTTTCTTCATCATCGATATCCATTGTGAAATACTTTTGCTGGTTTCTTGGCTGGAGGAGACTGCTTCTGTCTGAAAGATAAAGAATGAGAATTTTAGGCTTATGTTACGAATGTGAGCTCATAAATTTGAAGATTTGAGAGGGTCCAGAGGAGGGCCACTCACATGGTCAGGGGGCAGCAGGGCAGGCCCTATGAGGAGAGGCTACAGGACCTGAACCTGTTTAGCCTCCACAAAAGAATACTGAGAAGGGATCTGTTGGCCGTCTATAAACTTACCCGGGGGGGAAATCAGTGGGGAATGGGAGAGACCCTGTTTCCCCCAAGCACTACCCGGAGTAACTAGGAATAACGGCCACAAGTTGATCGAGAGTAGGTTCAGGCTAGACATCAGGAGGCACTACTTCACAGTCAGGGTGGCTAGGATCTGGAACCAACTTCCAAGGGAAGAGGTGCTCACTTCTACCCTGGGGGTCTTCAAAAGGAGGCTAGACAATCCCCTTGCCAAGGTCATTTGATCCCAGCATTCTTTCCTGCCCATGGCAGGGGGGCAGACTTGGTGATTTGCTCAGGTCCCTTCCGACCATAACAACTATGAAATTATAAGATATAGAACCAGGAATCAGAAGATGAAGGTTGTATCCCTGGCTCTTATCTCACTATCTGACTGTTGAAGGAGTTAAAAGGTCATATGTTTCAGCATAAAACTGGTTTAATAGAGAGATA